GACCCCACACAAGATGGAAAGAGACTCTTGAGAGCGGAACGGGCCACTAGGTCCAAACCTTGTTGCTGATGCTGCTGCTGCTGATGATGGTGATGCTGATGCTGATGAGCTTACTGTGCAAGTCTACATAGGGTTACCATACGTCCGGGCAAGGCAGTCTAAAATAGCAGGCACTGCAGCCGACCACATGATGTATCAGTGACATCAACCTTCGGATCGGAGTGTTGGTCGCCGTGCAGTCGAGGGATGTATAAATGCGGCTACACACGTTCAAGCATACTTGTCAATCATGCTTGCCCAATCACGATTGTGCAAGCATGCTTGAATGTCTGTACGACAGGATTGTTCAAGCATTTTGAATGTACAAGCGGCTTGAGGATTGATGGATATTTCATGATGCATCCTTGTACAAGCTCTTCCTGCACGTGATGGATTGGACGTGTGTACCAAGGAGATGCAAGCTTGTGCAATCGAGTGTCAGTTGATCGTACGGTTTTTAAACGTGATTAAATTTTATTTCCATCACCATGAAAGAAAAAAGTTTGAAGTGAATCAAAAATTTTATTACAAGACTTTATTCGTGTTTACGAAAATAATTCATGTCTGTGGTGTGTAAAATCAAAAGATTATCACGATAAAGCCAAAAAGGAAGCTGCATACGATTTATTACTACAGCAATATAAACTTATAGGTCCTAATGCTGACAAGAATGTGATAGTGAAAAAGATAAATGCCTTGAGAACCAATTATAGGCGAGAAAAGAAGAAAGTCGACAAATCTCGACACTCTGGCATTGGTACAGAGGAAGTATATGAGTCTTCACTTTGGTACTACCACTTGTTTGCCTTTTTGGATGATCAGGAAATTCCAAGGCGCTCTTCATTAAATTTAGACATAGAGGTAAGTTTTATTTTTTGCTATATACACTTATAAGAGTCACACACAAATTTTAACTATAAAAATACATTCAATAAAACGTCAATAAGTTCACACTTTTTCATTTTCAATTAACAAAGTTAAGATTCCAAGGGGTTTGTCCTTCATTGGAGAAGTAATTCACGAATTCTTGTCTTACTTTTTTAGCATCAGGTTGTGAGTTTCGAGCGATATATGATTCTAAACGTAACATATTGGAATTCTCTGAATGTAAACCAACATGGGTTGTGCCATTTTCTAAGTCATCAAAGATTACTTTACTTTTTGGAATGTTTAGTGAATTTTCCTGTAGTCGTCTTAAAATTCCGTATTCTGAAGGACAGCTCCATCTGAGATTCTGCCATTTGTACCGAAATCAAACAAAATAAATATAAACAATATAAATAATTTGCATCTGCAATGACAAGTAAAACCGTACTGTGCCTATATTTGTAATTTTAAAAAAAGGAACCACTTTCAGCTGGAGGAATTATTTCGATATGTTTTCTATATAGGCATTCCAGGCAATGAGGGAGATTCCACCTCTTTTCAAAATCTTGGGCTACTGTCATCCAATCATGTTCAGTTTTTGGGATCTGTAAAATATATAAACATTACATCACAAAAGTTATAACTGAAATTATGCATAACAAGTATGTACACGTTTTTACAAATACATGACGTAATTTTCTTTTCAGGAAGATGAATTTTATCTACCAATCGAAAACTCTGATGAACTCCTGGAAGAATCTGTCGAAGAACAAGAACCTTCACAAAGTTCTTATTCAAAACATGATACATCCGTCTCTAATAATAAGTCAACATCTACAAAAAAGACATCTCCTACTAGACCCTCTAAACGAAGTAAAGATAAATTGGATAGTGTACTAAATTCAATTGATGACCATTTTAAGAAGCCGAAGCTAAAAGATGATACACATGATATTTTTGGTAAAAATGTAGCTGTGAAGATGAGGGACATATCCAATAATACCCAAAGATTGTTAGCTGAGAATCTAATTATCGATGCTTTATTCGTGGCTGAAATGGGCCAATTGACTCTATCGCATTCTATTCGTGGCTGTATTGTAACTAATAATGAAAATGTAATTTATAATGACGAGTACCCTCAGCTTGATATTGCTAACAAGGTCTTTATCCGGAAACTTTAAGCGGAGCGGCAACA